TCAAATAGGGCTTGGACAGATTTGGGAAGCTTGCGGTTTGGGGTTTCGGGTGGGTTCGGGGATGATAGGTTTAGGGGCTGCTGAAAGTGATGTCCGTTTGAGGTTAAGGACTTGGGGTGGGTTCAGGGCCCAGGCTGATTCGCAATTTTGAAGGTTTAGGGCCAGTTTAATTTAGGATTTGAGGGTGTGCTGCAACCTCCAAATTCGGGTGTGCTCGACAGGGTACGCGGAAGTATGCATAAACTCTGGCCAGCAAGCCTTTCGACTTAATGAAGCCTCACGCGGGGCATCTGCAGCACCATGCCGTTGCCTCAAGCCAGGCTCAAGTCAAGTTTCTGCTACGGGTTTTGAACGAATGATACGACGTCACGAAACAGGCCGTTGCCAAGAATCACTAGCTTGAGCCGACTCTAGCCCGAACAAGCCCATGAAGAGTCTTGCGATACCTTTTTGTTTCAACCTTTGTCCTGCATGAAACATGGGCTAAGTCCGAATTCCAGGCATAAGTCACGGGCATGTAGCCACAATGCATGCAGTGGCCGAGAATTACATGAGGCGAGAATTGGCGAGAAAGAGGGTATGCCGGTGTAGTCTACAGCGACACCGAGCTCTGCCTACGCGCCTTGGAGCGAATAGGTACGTCGGGCTGCTGTACGTTTTGTGGTATCGGTTTTAGGGCAGGTCAGGGTTTAGGGTTATGTTTTAGGGATCAGGATTCGCTCAGAAGCTGTACCCTGTCATTTGCCGATTGCAGTCAGTTGAACTCGAAAGGGAGCTTGATTCGCACTGTAACTGTCTGCATGATCCCTACTCAGGTGTTGTTTCCTGCAGTGTTATTCAGTAAGTTAGCCTTACCTTCAGCCTGCTGAGCCAGCTAAGTCCCGGATCCCCATCATTAGGGCCGTCCCCGTCCGCCGGTGCAGCCCTTTGAGATAATTCTTGCAAACAAGCAGGCGTCGAATGTCTGCGCGTGCTGTGGCGGCGAGAGTGGGCCGGTGACAGTAACTGGGTTCCTGGGCTTATAATAATATTAATATTATACTATATTATATCATATTATATCATACTATACCATATTATATTATAATATATTATTTGACACGGCTTAGGGTTTAGGCAGTAGCAACAGGAACCCTGGCCCTTGCTTAAGTTTAGCGTGGCACTCGCAGGCCGAGGCAAAGCTGTATAGTGTCGAGTCAACATGCTGTTGCTATAGCAATTGCATATCAAGTTACCAGCAAATCTAGCACAAGCATGGCGAAACTGATCACGTTCCCGAGGCCGCGCTGAAGAGACTACTCGATGCGATGGAGGCGGGCTTGCAGCACAAGGCGGTTTAATGTAATATGCAGCACTTGTATTGTGCAGAGAAAAATGCTTTACTGCACTGGTTTCAATGCCCTACAAAGCAAGCCTATGCGTATTATATGTATGATGATGATGATGATGATGATGAGAAAATTGGCAAACACAAGGTGATAGCACCGAAGGGGAGCAGACCGCGAGCAAGACATAGCCCAACTATGGTATAGGACCTGTAGCACACAGTACCCAAGAGTTACTACTACTATTATTATTGAAATTATTATATTCTTCCAGTTCTGATTATTACGAGTACTACGCTGCATTGTTGTTATTATTCTTATTGTTCGCTTAGTGGAGGATCCACCCTTGGCCCTGGACTCCGACTCTGCGCAGACGGATGCAGCCTGGGCCAAGGCACGACTTCGCTGAAAAGTGGCTTTGAGGGTTTAAGGTATAGGGGTCTAGGTTCTAGGGTTGTGCCAAAAGGGGTTTAGGGCTGAGAGATGTTGAGAGGGTTTGGGCTTCAGGGTGTGGCTTGCGTGACTGCGTCTTCCGCAGCCAGGCCCTATCCCTCCATCGGCATCTCAAGCTGTTGCCTTTGAACTTTAAATGTTTATCCAGCCCTGAGGCCATGGAGAGACTAAAGGGCCCTTTGGCTGCCGCCAGTGTGCTACAGCTTGGCAGTGCTCAGTGACACCTGTACGCGTTGCTACTGGTATCTGGAAGAATCACTGAGAGACTCTTTCTTCATGCCAGAGGGTTCAGCCAGATGGGGCCTTAATGGCTCATCTGCGCATGTCCGGAAGGTCGGTGTGCGAGCTGTACGTATTCAGATCGTGCTTTGGTGATCGGATGGGGTTGAGGTCTCCGCCAGAGTGGCACAGAGCTTTTTGTGACTCAGGTTGTGGCGATACGCAAGTGCAGAGAGCACGGGATCAACTTGGAACCCTGGATGCATATAGCTGGATTTAGCTGCACAGTCCGGCCAGGGTGTTCCCGCTCCCGCGAGAATGGAGTGGGAGCGGGAGTGTTTTTCAAAAACAAGTTGTGTGTTGTGCCTCAGCGGTGTCACGACCCAAGCGATGTCTGCCAAGTATATAATCAAGCGCAATCAAGTCCCTGTTTGAGTCCCCTCAACATGTTCGGTCCATAGCAAAGGCTCAGCTTGGCGCAAGCATGCCGAGGCTTCCACAGCCCCTTGGCCTGGAAATCACGGATCGAGTACTTGAGCTTAAACAAAGGAGGAAGTTCAGCTCACCTGTCGAGCCGTCCTTCTCATTCCATGCCCATGAAACATCAGGGTGAGGGACCAGGATGTGGCATACACAGAAGCCTTAAGCTCGCATGCAACACAGCAAGAGTCCAATGGCAGCCGCTTGCATGCTCCTGCAAGTAATCGTGCGGGTGATTCGTGCGCAAAACACATATGTGAGTACAGAAAGGATTGAGTGGCGCAGGCACAGAGGGCTGCTAAGTAGGAGGAAGTATGTATGATCATATCAGTAAGGTTCAGAAGAGGTTGTTCTGCCGATGTCGCTGCTCGCTTTTACAGACCAAGGCGGGCCACTCTTGCACAATCTGCTGAGATCGCCGTCCGAAGTTTAGGTGACGCATCGCATTTTTAGACCACCTCGGTCATAAAGAGAGTCCGAAGTCGTAAGCAAAGTCCATTACAATGATGAAAGCAGAACTTGCGCATGCTAGATTGCCTCAGTCATCAGGTCGACTTATACCGTCGGTCCGTTATTGTGGCAGACTGGAAGCTCTCCGCTGCGAGACAAAAGGGCAAGGCAACCCGTGCACAATAATTGTGTAGGAGATGGCGGGAGTCCTAGCATTCCCTCGACATGCAACTGCGGCACGTAGGTTTGATGGGCTCGTAAAGTCTCGATCACGGATCCGGATTTTTATGACTCGGACCTTGAACCGATTCTGGGATGTTGAAAGCTATTCAGACTATGTCAGAATAAGCATGGGCGGGCGTGATGCCACGACAAAAGATAGCACCCCAAGTTTGACACCAGCCGTACTCGAGGCATTCAGAGGTCACTCTTCCGAGCAAGGCTATTGCGTAACACGTTCTCCACCAGTCCTTGCCAGCAGTGGGGCACCCAACCGGCCACTCAACCAACCTCGGCTGGGGGGGCAGGAGGATGTGAAACGTGGAGCTAGGTGTTCGTTCGCAAAGCTCATCACGTGACACTGCTTGCGCAGTGTGCTTGACGGTTTCGGTATGGGGCGTGGAGGTCGGTTTGATACTAGGCACTCCTTTCGGGCTTGCAGCTTTATACGGTTCAGAAGTTACTGCTGGATGGTTAGCTTGCTGCGATACTGCCAAAGAGCGTTTGACTGAATTCGTGGTATCTCATCCGAGCTTTCAGAAGTGAAATCTTCTTGCAGGAGCCCGAAGTCCACAGCATCCCAGAACCACAACGCTTAGAATCTTGGAAGCAAGACTTGTGCTCCAAGGCGATCGCTTCCCAGTTCGGGGCCCCAGGAATGGAAGCTCGCAGTCAAGGTACCCATGCTACTATCCTTGCTGCTGGCATGGGTTGCTCGTGCTCGCCATCCCGCTAGAACGCGTTCCATGCTTGTCATGATGGCAGTGGCCATAGCTATGACGATGTGTCATGATGATGAAGGTGCCGATCGCATGGTACGTATGGTGCAAATGACGATTTGACATCGAACCATGGCCGTGTCCGATACCTTCCATAGTTAGTTGCTGCACTGGTCGCCCCTGTCCTTGCCGGTGCTGCGACTAGTACTGTTGCCATAGCCTGTGAGCAGCCGCCTTCAATCAGGACTAGTTGAAGCGTACCAGGCATAGACTTGTGCTACTCCCTTATAGTCTCCGTGATTATAACTGCAATAACTAATAAGCTTTGTAGCATCCCCTGTTGTAAGCACACCACATGCGAGGCCATTGGCTTGGACGCGCAGAGTCAGGAGGCGAATGACGAGCCACAGCCCTGGTGGATGCCTTCTTGCAGGATGCAGCTCCGCCGTATATAGAATATATATATATATATACATGTATATACTATAGCAATAAACAGTATCATTTTTATTATCATCATCGTTTTTGTCAGTGTGATGTTGATGATGATTACTTTGATTACCATTACACAGACAGACACACACACACACATATATATATATATGTACATACATACATACATACATACATACATACATACATATATTTTTGTTATATATGAACCTGGACTCTGGGAGTTCACTGGAGTTGAACTTGTCACCCTGCCTAGTGATTCACTCAGCAATGCAGGAGGCAAAATTACATATGTATACACATTTATATATACATATATATATATGCATATGTTTATTTATTTTTTATGTATATACACAGCTCTATACGTAAATTTTTGTACCGCTCACAAGATCGTGCATTAGAGTGTGGGGTGAGATGTGGGATGTGTCGGCCTGCATGACCTGTTACAAGTTGGCATGAGCTACAGGGCCTTGTCATTGTGTGTGAGTAGTTCTCAAGGCAACTCTCCGAAAGTATTCTCTGCAAATTTCGCAGCCATCAATTCCCTTTGTGCCGTCAGAACTAAGCCCACCAGCCCGAGAGCGCAAAGAACGCAATCAGTGGGGGCACATACTGTTTTAGCTCATATTACCGTATATAATAATATATCGGTTGTTACATTAATGATTTCATTTTAATGATGAATTCCCTCTTTCGGACCCATGGCTTCGAGCCGCTAGTGAATGTGGAAGACGGAAGCCCTGGAAGCTCGGAAAAGGCGGCTCCGGAGCCTGAATCATGTAGCTGCCTTCGGGTTAAGCTGGCTGTGCGGAAGATGGCAAAGAAGGCCGTCAGGAGGAACTCTCATCGGGAATCTTTTGGAATCAAGGCCCCGCAGACTCTATTCAAGCTGATGCTGCTTTTCCTGACCTTCGCCGTCGGAATATGCATTATCGGCCTGAAGTTCAATGTGCTGACCTTGTGGATGCAGTATTGGATCTACGTGCTGATCCTTTTCCTCATTGGAATTCTCCTGCTCCTGGCAGGGATGATCAGCCCCAGATTTTACGCAAACCACTCCACCAGTGATTCTTTACAGGCAAGCTGGGCGAAAATGCAAGTTCTGGCCAAGTTCCTCTTTCCTGTGATCCTTTTCTATGGAGATGTGATCAGTGACATCTTGCTGATTTTCAAGTTCTGGGGCGAGGGGATGAAGCCCTACGCGATTCTCAACTTCCTGGCCATTCTCGCTGGCTCCACTGCCTCGGTGGTGAACGGTGTCGAAAATACCTCGCTGGATAGCTTGCTGCTCACAGTGGTGATGTTTTTTCAGCTGACGCCTTTGGCCGTGGCTCTGCAGTCCATCGGGCTGTTTTGTGCCGCAGTCGATTCCAGCGGGACAGACCCCAGGTACAAGGACTTAGTGGGGTACTTGCGTGATCGAGGTTGTTACACACTCCTTGCACATGCGCTGGTCGGAGAGGCCTTCACAGAAGCACTTTTGAGCACCTTTCTGCAGACCTATGCGCTCCTGCGTCATTCCATAAGCTGGACACTTCTGACAGAACTGTCTCTGGTCTTCAGCATCGGATCGATCGTAAAGTCCTTTGCCAAGTTGGACCTGCGGGGCCATGTGTCCCGGGATATTAAAGGCCAAGCCATCGTCGTGGGTTTGGCGGAGTGGACATCTCTTCCCTTCATCTTGGTTGTGATCTACCGGCTCGCGGAGGTAGCAAGCCAGGTCCTGTTCTTTCCATTCTTTCAGATGGTCGAAGATCGCCATGGGGTTATCTTCGGTCTTCGATGCAGCGGTGTTCTGTTCTGGCTCTTGGACCTTGTCCTGCAAGCAGCCCTGGTGTATCACAGCACCCGGAACCCAAAGAAGCTTCTGTGGGCAGTGCCAAATACCATCGGTGCTTTCGAGCCCATGCTCCTGGCAGGCTCCGAAGCAGTCTTTTGCACCTCCGCACGTCTCCAGGTATTGATCCACTTCTTCGAGCTGGTCTTGGGCACTGCTTTCGTGTGCTTCTTCCACACCCAAAGGGTGTATGATTTTTGTTTGGAGCGTCCCCACATCATTTGCGGCTTGCTCGTTTGCAATGTGGTAAAGTACGGACTCTTTATCTTCATAAGGACATTTTCGGCATATCCTGTCATTTGCTCGGAGGAGTTTCCGTTCGCGAAGATTCTGTCAAAAGAAGCCATCGAAGTTGCCGATCTTGCCGACAAGCGCGTGCCACTAGAAGTGGTGATTTACTCGAATTTCAGTTTGGATAAGGGGACGGACCGAAAGAAGATCTTCGATGCTATGAATCGCCAGAGTGACGGATTTCGCGACGACATGGCTGGCAATGTCTGTCATTTAGTCAGCCGTCTCGCATACAACCAGAACCGACAGAGGAAGGAGTCTTTGATAGCTGAGGGTGCGGGCAAGGCAGTCCTTGCCGCTGTGGACATGCACATCGATGATGAGCAAGACGATGTCCCGGCGCTTAGGGGGGCCTGCCGAGCCATCCTGAACTTGACGGTGGGCAGTGCTGAGAACAAGCGTTTCCTCGCAGAGCATGGGCCAGGGATGATGTTGAAGTGCATGCAGAGGAAAGACCGGTTCCTCCGCAGGTATGCCTGCTTCACTCTCGAAGCTCTGGTCGCGGACAAGGACATTCGTGCCAAAATGTCGCAACACTGGAAGCCCATCGTCGGCAACTTGGAGGCGGAGCATCGGGCTGACAACCTGCTTCAAACAGCTGCGTGCGGACTGATTGCCAAACTCGCCTGCGATGAACACCTCCGGAAGGAGTTGGTGAGGGGTGGTTGCCACGCAGATGTTGTCGAAAGCATGCGCCGGCATCCCAACGACATGGACGTCCAGCGCGACGCGTGCTTTGCACTTCGGATGTTGGCACCGGCCTTCGACCCTGAAACGCAATTCGAGCTATTGTCTATGGGTGTGCGCGCAGACATCCGGAAGGCCATGGAAAACCACAGCAACCAGCCGTCCTTCCAATACGAAGCGTGGAACCTGTTGCAGAGTTTGGATGCAGGTGGTGCTGGGAGACATGCGTTTGCAGTGGAAGGCGATTGCTCTCCCGGTGGCTTCATACATGACCGTGAAGGATCGCCACGGTGGCGTGCTGTGAGCAAAGGTGCATGATTGAGCTGGGGGTCCACTGAAGGTCGACTCCCAGCAGGAACTTGTACAGAGATCTATCATTGAAGACGTTGCTTCGATGAAGTGCGTGCCAGTAACCACGTGCGAGTTACAAGGCCCTAAGCCGCATGGACCCCGAACCTTGGAACACTAACACCTGAAGCCGGAATCCTGAGTTTTTACATGCGAAAGCCAGAGCGTTCGAGAGCAAGAGCGTAAAACCAGAACCTTAAATCAGTGATGGCCAACTTCCAGTGTAAGCTACACTCAGCCAGCCAGAATTCCGATGACCACATAACAAAGCCAAGTTGGGTCTTTGTCTAGCCTATGCCCTAAACCCGTGCTCAGCCTTATCTGAACATACCCTACAATGCGGGCTCGTCCAAGCTAAGTGGGAGGGACAAAACCCGTGTTCCATGAGGCTGGCGCTCTGGGAGCCAGGGGCCTCAGTAGACCTGGTGATGTAGAAGCAGCTGATTCGCGCAGAGCAGCATCGTAGGATGATTGAATGAGATGTCATGTAGGTTGATGTATGAATGAATCGGATCAGATAGAAATGCATATGTATGTATGTGTGTATATATATATACACATCCGTACATAAATACAGAGTTAGATATATCTACCGAGAGAGGCCGGCCACGAATAGCAAGACATGACCGTACTCGAGTTGCTGTTTCGGTGTACCATTGTATTGCGCGCACGAGCCACTGTCTTTTAACTGTGTGGTATCCTGACGTATCGTTTGAATGAAATTTCCGTGCATTTGGGGCCTCGCGTTTCAGGAATGACTCCTGCACATCTTGTTCCTGAGTAGCTTCAGGATGTGTGCCAGTGTTGAGTTCCTAAGGTCAGTCAATGAATGGTTGATGGACTCATCGGTGCTGAGAAAGCTGTGGCCTTGGTTCCAACATGACATCCCTGGATGCATGGGTTGCATTTTAAACCTGCATGTCACTGATTCGGAACTGGCTTCTAGGCCTGATTCTACGCACTGTGACGACCGTGGCAGCTTGTGCTTACTGCATGCCAATGATCTGAGATGCTGCTCGTAGCATGAATGCCTTGCACATGGCTGCACTAGCAATGTGAGCCGAACGACGAGCAACCCTACAGAATAACACTCCATCCCATGCATCATTTAATGAACTCAAGCCTTTCTTCACTGAAGTCGGCTCTTTTCTTTGCCTACAACCCGTTGGCCGACTTTGGCTCACAGCATCTTGTTGGGCAGATCCTTGAAAAGGGTGCTATGCTCACATGTACTGGTGACTTACTAGGGATTGCTAGCACAGGGTCTACAGAACTCTACATCCTGATCTGTAGAGCAAGTTCAGCCTTGTAGTCTCCATTTGTTGCAGACCGTAGGGTACGAGCAGATGCTGAGCACTGACCGGTTCCACCTACGTCTACGGCTCTGATCTGCACGACTGTTGTACCGAAATGTGTTGACTCTTTAGTTTCATTCTTTCTCAATTTTTCTCTCAACATGCCGATTACCACGATTATTGGACTCCAAGTGGAAGGGCTGAGGCTGAGCTCATAAGCCGATCGCCATTTCTGACCTGCAGCCTGCAACTCGCAGGAGTCCGGTAAAAGCTAGTGGAACGTAGACTCTTCTGTGAACCCCTGAGCATACTTGGAGGTTCATGGGTAGCTATAGGTGGGGTTCTAAGTAGCCAAACTATAGCTATAGCCTATATTCGGAGACTTATAACTCCATTTATAACGGTCCATGAACCTCCAAGTAAGGAGTTGCAGCTGCCTGGGCATTTGTCGTATTGCTTCCTTCTTCCTTCCAACACCAGTACTAGCCCACGTGTGTCTCGAAGTTCGATGGCGACTGTTTGGGCTTCTGCAGCCTGTCTGTGCTCACCAGGTGGAAAAGTCATGATTTCCGGTGCATAGTACCTGTACTGATTTCTTTATGGCTGTTTGTACTGAGTGCATCCTACATCATCCGAGACTTGTCTATCACTACTGATACTAATGCTACTGGCAGCATAGAACCGCCAAAAGCCAGTGGCCGTGGTCGTCGTCGTAGTTTCAGCATCGTCAGCAGCCGCCACCCCATGGCACATCTGCTTTCAACGTCTCTCTTTTACACTCTAGAACAATTCCAGAACATGTCGATGCTTTCGCTGAACGCCTCGGCAGGAGCGATGGGCGTGGCCGTCAGTTCCATAAGGAACTCCTGTTGTGTGGACAAGACAGGCCAGGGCCTGCTGAATGGATCGGGCCGTCAGGTGGGTAGTTCTCCAAATTAGGGTCCCTTTTAGGGTCCTCTTTGCAAGGGTGCCGCGCTATATTTGGGACTTAGAGCACTACCCAGGTGTTTGACAGGTTTGGAGTTGACGGGGGATGCTGCATAGACTTGGTAGTTGACATGAGCTTGTGTTTGGATTCCGACAAACATTGACAGGTCTCAGAACGACACTTGAAGAGAAACAGGGAGAGAGAGCTGACGAAGAAGGAGAAGAAGACTAGAGCGAGAGAGAGAGACCGACTTTGAACCACTAGCCTCAAACTCGCTGGAAGAAAGGCTCGGAAGGAAGGAAGCTCGTTGGGCATTGGTTTTGATTTAACGTTGCAGCTATTATCTCCAGAAAGGACCTAGCATGTTGCGCAGTTCATCGAGCCCTTGTCAGTGGCTCTGCCCTGAGAGAGGTAGTCGAGAAACGAGATGTTGTGACCTTTCACCGGATGAGCAATATAAACTGCTTGCAAAGTCGTATGACAATGAATAAGAGCTGATGAAGAACCAAAATACTTGCCGGCGAGAATCAGATCGAATCGTATGGACTCGTGGAGCCACCATAGCAGACTGGGATTGTCCTCGGCCATGCTCGTGTGCCAATGCCTCCACGACGGGCCACATCCGGCCAGAGTGCCCCAGCCATTTCTGCAAATCATTTCTGCTGGACTTGCGTCTGCATCCTGGGCACAAGCCTCGTCGGACAAATCTGTCTTCTAGTCAGCCTGCTTGGCCGGCTAGCAGAGGTTCAGCATGCTGGGGAGCCGCAATCAAGCGTGAAGATAGCAAACGCCAGCACTTCGAGTGCGATTGACGTTGAACTGAGCCAAAAGGGCCTTGCGACACCTGCAGCAGTCGGAACATCCATGGACTTCCTGGCAGTTGCTTGTGCGGTGGGTGCAGATCAGGATGCCACAGCGCTGTTTATCCGGTCCTATCAGCGTGCCACGTCGTCCGAGCTTGTCCTTCTGGTGGAACAGATGCCTTTGGAGTCCGACTTGCGGGACAGTGGTGTCGACCTCACACGGCTCAAGCTGGAGAGAGTACTGCCTCTACCGTCCATGTGGAGCATGCTCTCACGCGAGGATACATACATATTTTACATCCATCAATACCTCCAACGAATGCCAGGCCAGGTGAAGATCATGCAACTCTCCAATGTCGATGATATAGTTTTCCAGGCCGATCCCTTTGCATGGGCTTCTGAGCAGGAGCCTGGGCTACAATTATTCCTGGATGAGCCCGGGGTCGTTGTCAACTCCGGCAAGACGTGGAAGCTGATAGAGCTTTGCTATGGTACTCAGGCTGCACGCCTGCATTCGAAGCCACGGATACCTGCCGGCTATATGATCGGTTCGAGCGCTGATCTGCAGCAATTCGTGTCGGATCTTGTAGGCGAGGTGACCTTGAGAGGTGCATGCGGGAATAGGCCGGGTGTGGTTAACGCCGCGGAAAATTTCATGGCGCACCTGGCTCACCCAGGTATCAGTCTGCATTTGCACGACAATCGCAGGGGACCTGTCTGGTCAGGTGAGCATGTCCCTGCCAACTCCTTCGTGTCAGACGCAGAGAACCATGTCATCAACGAGGACGGCTACCAATATGCGGTGTTGCGGAGCTATCATGCTCATGACGAGCTGTGGAGGAATATTCAGCGGAAATTCGAACAGGTACAAGCACCACCTGACTTCCACGCACCTGACACTTGTGCTGCGTTTCATGTGGAAGCTTGTGACATGCCTGGTCACGATCTGGCACACACTCCGAAGGACACAGAATCTGACTGTTGCGCAGCTTGTGTCGCTAATGTGGGCTGTGGTGCTTTCACCTTTTCACGTTCGCGAAGGCACTGCTGGTTGAAAAGGCCCGGTGGGGCCAAGAAGCATAATCCGGCCTCAGACATGCGATGTGGCGTTCGAGTGGTCGAGGCCACACAAGGTTTGCCTCCCACAGGCATCGTTTGACATGAGAGGTGATTCACAAGCAATGCCGAAAATTACTGTTGCAAGCAGACACAGCTTCATCGTTTTGATTCCGTTGTTCTTTCTCCCTCTCTCTCTCTCCCTCTCTCTCTGCCTCTTCTCTCTGTCTTGCAGATGGCACCTATCTATAGCTGAAGACACTTATGTAGATACGAGCAGAAGTAGTTGCATAATAACAACAATGACAAGAAGAGGAATAGTAATCACAAGAAAACACAGGAAACACAACAGTAGCTGACTCTGACCATGACATGATGATGATGATGATGTTGATTATGTGAACTTAGGTGTATGAGTATATATATATATACATACATACATACATACATACGTACAGAGAGACAGAGACAGACAGACAGACAGACAGACAAACAGACATACATGTGTGTATACATATATATATATATACACATACACGCATGATATGTTTGTGTGGGTGTGTCCGTGTTTGCAATTCCTTGTGGAACCTGCATGTAATCATACACTCCGTAGGTTAATGCGTAAGCATGTGCCGATATACAGTACACTCTTTTACCTGTGCACAACAAGTCACAACTTGTGCATGCACAGATCTGTGTACTTATCTATCTATCTACCTATCTATCTATCCATCTATCTACTTATCTATCTATGTATCTATCTATCTAGCTGCTACTGTAGCTATCTCTCCGTGTACCTACCTACCTACCGACCGACCTACCTACCTACCTACCTACCTACCTACCTACCTACCTACCTACCTGCCTACCACCTGCCTGTCTGCCTACCTACCTGCCTACCTATCTATCTATCTATCTATCTAGCCATACAGGCATACATACAGACATACATAAACACATATCCACACACTACATAGTTGACATGACCCAGTTAAGGCAGTCTCTTCCCAAGTCAGCAGTGCATGCGCCCAAGCATGCTCAGAAGCAAAAAACTCAATCATACAGTTTTGGAATTCGGAGCGGAGAACAATCAGCGATTAGGGTTTTAGATACAGGTGTTGACTTAATTGTTTAGGATTTAGGAACGAAGGCTGTGGCTGGGCCATGAGCAAAGCGCTTAGGGAACACACATCATTCAACAAGCTGTGCTGGACGCCACGGGCTCAAACTGGCTGCCGACCAACAGGTACTCCGGAGAAGGCCCTTAACCCAGCATCCCAAAGGCCTCCGTGTCTCAGCCCAGAAGAATCTGACGCAAGTAAACTTTGGCTATAACACAGATTGACAGGCTCCTGTTGCGTTTAGGATGCGCGTGACAGATGACTGCGGCACTCTGGCCTCATCGGTGCTGGCTGGCGTTGCAAGACCTGGCCGAAGCTGCTGATGGTGCTTCATTGGAAGGCCACCGCATGTTGTGAGTTTGTTGATCACTGCTTGGCTTCGCAGCCTCTTGTTGCCGATGGTTTGCTAAGACTGCAGACTGCAGTCTCAGCAGAGACTTGGTGTAGAGTCCGTGCAGTTGGCAACAGGCAGTCGGTTTTCCTTTTCGAAGCCCTGAGGCACCAACCGAGTCGGGCTGCCACCTAAACCAGTCGAAGGTCCTGCTCTCCACAGACTACCTGGAAGACGGCAGCCTGGCAGCTGCTAACTACTTCCTAATTTTTCCTTAATTTGGGGACCATACACCCCCTATTTTTTGAGGGTACCAGGAAACTCCTGGTAGACTATGAAAATTGCAAGCTGTGCAGGAGCGACCGTCAATCATGGGGGCCTGAATAATCCGACTTGGGTTTTGGGGTACAACAGTAGACTCAGTAGACGTATATGGGGACTGCAAGCGAATGTTTGAATATCTATCAAATTAAGATAGGCTTGAAGGGAGAGGCATTGGGGTGACAGTGAGTGTTTTCTCGTATTCGCACGCAGGGGTCAGTAGGTGGACGCCTTCTCACATCTAACCAAGGTGCCCCTGTCAATGCCAGCGCACCCTCCAGCACCACCGTGGAGCTGTGGGGTGTTCCTGGCCTTAACATTGGATTCAGGGAAGATCAGAAACACTGCAGGGAGTGCTGTGCATAGCACCGGCCGACTCTGGACCGAGCGGTGTACCATACAAAACGGTGTAGGGTTCAGGGCTACGGGTCACGGGAAACCGTGGGGTTCGAGACTTCAAGGTACTCAGTGGCGAGTCCTGGACGCGAGGTGCTGGGAGGGAACTTTTCTCGAAGTTCTGTTGGACGTGTCCTGAAGCCAGCACGAGCATCAGCCAGATGTGCTTCCGTTTCTCACTTTTGAGCGGTGGCCTCGTCAAATTCCACAGATGTTGGCGGCTTGTCCGTGAAGTATGCGTCTAGCGAATGAGTTCAAGAGTTCTGGAGATGACAAAGGTTTACATTTCTTTGAGCAGCCTTCACCAAAGACGTGCCACGACACTCCGGGACTTTCAAAAAAACACAACGGCGAGGCCGCGACTTCTTCGGCAGGGGGGAGTCTGAGGGCGAGGAATCGGTCTCCTTGAACGGCAGCGAGGAGCGAGGGTAAGTTTGCCGGGTTTCCGGCCCGGTATGAACCGTGCAGTACTGTCGTCGCCCGGGTAGCTACCACTACCGTTCCTTACTGGGGGGCTCGTTATGATAGTTTTGGGATATCCTAACCCCAAACTCGTGTTCTAATCTCAAGGCCTCCACATGTAAGGGTGTCCTGAGACATTAAGCAACTTCGGAAATCGACAATGCAGAGCTTTGGGCTTGAAGCTGTAGCACTGTAGCATTCAAATGGTTTTCTGCTCGCGGAGCAGAGGGCGTTCGAGGTGTGTATCACAATACCACTTTGCCTCACATTTTGTCGCGATAGTCGTGCATTTGCCCCAAGTGCGGGGCCAGTGTAAACTCCTAGCTGAGTACGGCTGTTACGGACAATTCGCTGTGTCTTAAGTCAAGCTGACGGCTCGAGGAGGATTTCGACGAATCGAGATGTGGAGACGACGACGATGTGCAGGCAGCACCATATGAGTTGAAGTGAATGATGTGTTGACCCTGTCACCTGTCTGGTTCCAGCGCTTTCACTGACTTGTGTCGACAGGTGGATGGTGACAGGTTCTGGCAAGAGAAGGAGCAGCTTCCGTTCGACGGTCGCTTGTCCTTGCCAGGGTCGGCCTTGTACATTTCGAGGAATATAGCTCATGGTTTGAATCTTGTTTTCACTAAACCGTGGGTCAGAAGTGAAGGCCGTTGTGGCCATGTTTTGCTCCAGATGCGCCTGAGCTCGCCCTGAGGTCTTTTGCTGACCAACGAACATGTGGGCCAGATGTGGCCCAGCCGAACTGAACCTGCGTTAAGTGCTGACGGAAGGCATCGGATCTGCTTCGTTAGATCTGACAGTATTGCGTGCTTTTCTTGCGGTCCCATGTCAGAAGAAGGTCAGCTTCAATTTTGGAGCTTGATGCGGGGGGGGGTCAAGGATCCCAGGCACAAGACACAGGATGTCAAGGTTGCTCATGGCATGCAAAGTGCTAAACTGCTAAACAGGTGCGTAAGTAGAGACACTTGTGAGCGTACCGCGATATACCCTATAAAACCTATAGGCTCATCTAAAGTCTAAATCCCTAAGCTCTCAAACCCTAAACCCTGAACGTGCACTTTTTCGGGTCTTTGTATTGGCCTTGCCTGACAGTATCCTGGACTTGGTGACACGCGGACAGTGCAGTCGTTTGCTTCTGAGACCTCGCTACAGACCTTGCCAGGCTTCTCCGAGTCTGCGTGTCCACAAAACCCCTAAACCCTAAACCTTAAACCCTAAACCCGAGGGAAAAACCTTAAACCCTAAACCCTAAAGCCCAAGGCTAGTCCAGGAAGTGGCGGTCGGTGGAAATCATTGCATTCTGGTGACCGATGCCGGCCATGCCTTCGCCTACGGAAGCAACGGCAGGTCGGCGCTGAGGTGTTTTCTAGTAGTTCTAGGCACAAGGGTAGTTCTAGATCAGGATCCCTTTTAGGGTCTATTTTTAGGAAAAGCGCGCCGCATCATAATACTGGGGGCTTAAAAGGGACCCTAATTTAGAGAACTACCCATGAGAAGAGCTACAGAGAATAATAGCAATAACTATCCGAGTGATTCGCTCAGCCATGCAGGAGGCAAAAATCGTAAGAGTGATAGCAACCAAGAACAATACTGATGATCATCTCGAAGATGCTGGATGATTCTGGTAATGACAACGATCAAGGTTTCTTTGTGGGCGGATCCTCAGTTAATTGATACTCCCGCCTCATGCTGAGATAAGTCCCATGCCCGACTTGCCCAGTAGCCTCCTGCAACAACAGGGCGGATATTTTGTTGAGATATGGCGGCTTGGAAGGCGTGATCTTGCCACGGAAGTTTCTTCGCGGAGTCATGGTAGCACTTCCCGCCGCGGGTCGTAGTCCTCACAGTGGGGCTCATTCCTCTATTTTATGGTATATTTCGATATCATATGATGTTCTAGTATATCACACTGTGCTACAATCTGTCTCCTGCCCACATCAATTGTCGGTTCTGGGGATTGTTTTATACGTGCCCAACCAGTGGAACCGAGAGTTTGTGTGAGTGTGGATACACATACCCAATGTACCTGAGCGACGGCTTTGTTTATGCGGCACTTCAGGAGTTCACAGGTGAACACGTGTTGGTGAAGTACAGTGCCGGTTGCCATATCGATCATGTTTCAAGGTCAGGGCGGTCGGGCAGCGCTGCTCAGCATGGGTGAGTTTTGTTTTGCAAGTGCTAAGAAGGCAGGAAGGAGATAGAGACGCCTGAGTCATATAGATGCTAGCATCGAAGCCAGCCTGCCATTCCGTGAGGGGACAGCTGGGGCTCGGAGACTTCAGCTATGAGGCAGGGACCCTTTTGATCTTCAAGCAACATAATTGATAAAATATAACATGATATAATTTAATATAATGCAGTAAGATAAAATACAGCACAAGACATACCATGTACTACTTGTGGTTTTGTTGGTGCTATCGCTAGTCGGCATAGCGCACCGAAGTGACTCTTGGCAAAATGTGGTCGTTTCTGCACAAGGCGCTTTGCGAAAGTATTCTGCAGCGGAGCACAGTAAATCATCGTGATATCGGCTGCAGATCATGCTTCCAGGAGCACGATCCATCCAGCCTTGCTCTCGCCGCGATACCACCGCTGAAAGGACCAGGTGCCCAGAAGGGCCGGGGCTTCGGGGCTTAGGTGCTAAGGGGTTGCTGGGCGCTTAGGGTTTGGGGTTTGGGGTTCTAGCTGTTTAGGGTTTAAGGTGTTCCTTGTGTTTTCTCGTGACTCTGTGACCTCTATTCACGATGTCTCTGCGAATGTCTCTGATGTTCACAGGGTTGCTGACTTTGTCCCTGGTCCGCCAAACCTTAAACCCCAAGCCGTAGCTTGGTGCCCATGGATTATGGGCGGAAGGGAAACCTGTGGGTTACAAGTCGGAAGCTTGGCCTGATTTCGAGTAGCCTTCACTCTGGTCGATGATGATCCGGTAGTGCTATGATCGAGTCTGTGCAAGGTCTCTGGGGGGAAAGCTCCAATTGCGCCAGTCCTAGCTGTAATTGGGCAGGGACAGAATCCCGAGCTATCTGAGATGTGGGGTTGAAAGTCTAACGAGCGATGCTCGTTATCTCCTGCCATCTCTTCCGTGACGAGACCGGTAGTAGCGACGCAATGTCTAGCCGACTGGTACCTCCAATGCCAGTGTCAAGTTTTCAAGACGGCAAGCTCCTCTAGTCCCTGGGTGTGCCAGGCGCGCAGCCTCAGAAAATCATCGGCGCAGCATGCGGAGGCCGCATCACTGGACGGAGAGACATGCACTGCGCGTCTTCCAGTCGGAGTACTGGGGGTACCAGCCCAGATTCGGCTGCATGACATGACCAATGCTTTAGCACCTGTCAGGGTGAAGACACTCTATGCTCTCAGTTCGATTGATGGTAAGCTTTCCGTGTCTTGTACGGCTATAATCACTGTTCACTGTTAAAAAAAAACCTTGGCTTTGCGCCATGGCATCGAAAATCTTGTGGTGACCCAGTAGCCTGTCGATCCGTGAACACCAGGGGCTGCTCACATCCTCGCATTCCTGCTCTGTCAAGCTCTTGTTAACGAGACAGTGTGTGGTGTGAATGTGGTTTACAAGAAAGCGGACATGTTCAACCTAATAGAAGATTTTTGCTTGCAGCAACGCAGAGCACGAGAGGCGAACACACTTTGCTTCTTACGAGAGATGTGGATGGCACGGCGCAGAAGGCTGGATGATTTTTCCGCACTACTGCGAACCACTCAATGTCTCTTGTATTTGGTTCAGGAAATGGTGGTGTGACATGGCAGGAGGTAAGTGGTGCCTACGGACTCGCATGATCTAGGGACATTTGGGGTATCGCAGGGTGGCAGCAGTAGCTGCCAAGTGCTATCGATCCTGGCCTGCACTTCATTCATTCATCACTGCCAACAGGCCTTCATCTGCGGGGCATGGGAGGCCTGTGGTTTGGACAGCTGTCAGGACACGAGGGGGGGGGGGTTAAAGCCGCTGGTTAAACCGGTCTTGAATCCACAGTTTGTCTCAGCGTTGACTACATAGTACGTAGGAGTTGTCCATAGCTGCGCTTTTTGCTTGGTCCGGTCAAGCAGAGTCTGGCCGTTTTGTCGAGAAGCGTGTATCTGTGGGATCTCATGTCCGACAGGACCGGGCCACACCCACCCTGCTGCCGAACCCTGGCCCGAAGCATCGGCAGGGAGCGATGACTTCCGAAATACCTGTCGGTATGTAGGTATGTAAAGGTGGCTGACCAGCTGAGGCAGAGTGTAAGTCAGAAGTACTACGACAGCGGGTCCTGCACAAAAATGGCTCGACAGGGATTTAATTCCGGATGGCCAAGAGCCAGCATGATCCTAGGTTCGAGCACAGCGTCTCCGCAGTAGCTGCCCGCGTGGGATGCAGCTGCTGTTCGGTGGCTGAATCTGACTCCCAGTCGCTGGGATTCGCTGGCCGTGTGAACTCAATGCAGATTCAGGTGTCTCTGACAGTGTTCTGCAAGGGTCCATCGCATACGGTTGAACTTGCTGGCACCGAGCACTTGCTTTTGTGAAGCCTGCGACGATGCATTCTTTGGAGGTCTTAGATTAAATTGAGACCTTCTAAAGGGCAGCTCGTCCTTGCCTTGCAGTCGTTCACTTGCTATGGTTTGACGAAATTATCGCCTGTGCAAGCAAAGGAAAGGCCATCTTCTCTACCTTTGGGGTGAAGTCGATTGCTGTCCTTGCCCTGCCCCTTGGCGTGGAATCGTTGATGTGGGCTCGGGCAGGCCATCAAGTATTCAAGTAAAATCAGTCCGCCTCGGTGAGGTTCTGCGGGCCCGAGGCGGGATGGTTTGCAGACGAAATCTGCTTGGATAAGTGTGCTGAGGATGTGCTGGATCAGCCGACGCCATGTTTCCGACTGGAGCGACCAGTCCGGACACTGACACTTGTCGTGCACATCCCGAAGCCGCGGTACCTTCCTTATCGTCGTGACATGGCAAACACAACGCGTCTTTGTTGCTTGGGACTTTGCTGGCTTTCCAGCTTCGCACCGAACTGGTGGGGAACAGAACTAAGACTTTTGAGATTCCTGCACCACTACCAGGCTACCAGGATCAGGAGACCTAGTTGGTCGGCTGTAAGTTGAGGAAGATCACAAGCAACAAAATTTTGCTGGGCTACGAATTTACATCTCTGTATTTGCACTATTAATTGGCCTGCACTTTGACCATGACTCATCATGGGCAGTGTTGGTGCTGCGCAACTGCAACCGTGACTTGCAGATGTAGCTTCGTGCCGTCTTCAAATCAAATTAAACATGTGAGAGAGAGAGGGCAACTACGTACATGCAAACGCGTATACATAGACAGATGCATGGCATATGCAGTCGCAAACATGTTCGCAGTGTGTGTCACCCTGCTACAAGTATGGTGACCTACCTACCTACCGACCTACCTACCTACCTACCTACCTACCTACCTACCCAAGTACCTACTTTCCTAATTACCTACTTTCCTGCCTACCTACCTAACTACATACCTACATACAGATATACACACATGACACACACAGGCAGACAGCCAGACAGACAGACAGACAGACAGAGATTACTGACAGCGGTGTACGCCCCCTGTGTTTGCGAACGGCTGTGGGCGCGGGTAAGTGGAGAATGCCAAACTGCACGCGAAAAGTCGAAAAGTGGTAATGATTAAAGATTCTGCGCGAAAAACCAGAAAAGTCGAAAAGTCCTGAAAAGTAAACCATTGCAGCGAAAAGTCAAAAACTACAGAGAAAAGCCAAAAGTCGAACAGCCGCGATAGTCGACAAGTCAAAAAGTCGGTATGTAGAAAACACAACGCAGCAAAAACCGAAAAAGTAACAAGTGGCACACGTCTGCAGCCTCGTGGAACTGCGTTTGTCTGCAGTAAGCAAAGGCAGATCCAGCATAGTGTCAAGAATTTCGGATACTGGGGGGAGGTGTTCTGGCCTTGGGGCCTCTTTCAGATTGAAACCTCGTCAAATTGAAGCACGGGAAAGGATGTAGGGTTTCACTAAGTTTGCGAGGTGTCCATGGCACAGGGAACTCGACGTTGAAGAGTATACAAAAGCACGCAAACATCTGCATATGCTACAGTATGTGTGTGTAAACAGAAGCAGCAGTACAGTTGCACGTGCCTACATATGTAGACACACATAGGTAAAGGTATGTACATATATATATATTCATGTGTATATATATATGTATGTGTGTGTGTTTATGTATATGTTTACACATATGTATATACACATGCACACCACTGGAACAATGTTTGGTGGCGCATGAGGCTGTAGCTTCGGAGGTGTTCGACTTTGGGGATGCAAGTTCCGTGCAGCAGGGTTTTTGAGACGTGAAG